AAGGAAAGCGTTAGAAGCCATTTGTCATCGGTGACAGGCCCGAGAGGCAGAGGAGAGACTCGGGAGGCTTTGCCAAGCACCAAGGGCTGCTTGTGGGCAAGGACAGCGGGCAGAGAGGGTGCCAGGGTTGGGTCAGGCATGGATACCCCTCCCCAAAGATGGCCTGCATGCTATCTGGAGTACCCAGCAGCGATGTCCGGATAAAACACCACACGATTACATGAGTCTGCCTGATCGTTCCCTGTGATTTCCCGCCCCCCACCCCCAAGCAGGCCTGACTGCTTTTTGCTTTGAAGAGCCAGGGAAACGCGTCCATCGTGACTTGCCTTCTCTGCGCCTGGATTAAAGGTTGCATAGCAGCAGGGAGCGAGCACTCAGCTCCCCCGCAATCAACAAGAAGAAGCTGCAAAACTTGTCTCATCCACACAATGAATATTTCAAACTGAAGCAAAACCCCACTACATCATTTCCTCTTCATTACAAAGAGCAAAGATGGGAACAGCCACATTCGGTTACCACTTTAAACCGGATTCCTTGGCCACTTTCATGCACACTTCCCCACCCCATGCACAGGAGCAATTTCATCGTGGTGAGCAAAGCTGCGGGGAGGTGACAGCAATTTGTCCCTTACAGTGACAACCCCACACCACAAGTCAAAAGCAGGATACAACTTACTGCTGACGCTGACAGCTCTCCCCAGCTGAGCAGGGGCTGCGTGCAGAACAGATAACAGGAAATCTTCCAGAAAAGCGAGCCGCACAGCAAAACTCACCGCCGCTTCCCATCACGCGTGTTGAATCCTTTATTTCCAAAGTGCTGCTTGTCACCCATCTCAGCATGACACAAGGGAGAGCCAGCACTGCCAGCCCCACTCCCCTGCCCGCAGGGAGGCTGTGGCCAAGCCCCTTCCCCAGGCCGCTGTGCCCACCCCGGCACGACACCTCCCAGACACGACAGCCGCACCCGCTGTGCCCCCACAGCATCGCTCCTCTCTGCCCTGTGTTCCCTAGTGCTCCACAGCCCCAGAGTCACCCCCAGACTCACCTTTCCAGAACTCTGCAGCATGGCCTGGTCCCCCCAGCCCAGCTTCTCCCCACAGGGAGGCTGCTCAGCACAAATCGCCCCAGACCCCACAGCTCCTGCCCCAGCCGTGCTGTGCTGCCCCACTCCCCCTCCACCCTGAGCCCCCACACAGCAGCACAGCAGCACCCCACAGAGTGCGGGGCTCCCTGCGCCCTCCAGCTCACCCTCCCTGCAGTGCCACACAGCACCCCACACCCTTACCAGCACGTCACACCCTGGTGCACACTGTGGGGGGCTATGCCCCCCTACATGCCCCCCCACACTGCACAGCACCCCCAGATGCTCCGAGGAAACCCCGTGGGCTGCCAGCACCTCC